ACCCTCACTTTTAAATCATGTAGTGCTCATTAGCCTTTGAGGTCTAATGATTCCAGAAAAATAATGTTTCAGCAGCACAGTTCCTGGGAAAGAGAAGGCTTCCAGATGGTCTTCTATTCTCCAAACAAGCAAAACCTGCTGTGAAATGCTGCTGCTGTAACAGCTTGAATATACTGATACAACCCAGGCTTAAGTAGGATTCCAGTAGTGCAAATCCATTGCTTTTAGGTTAAAATGTAAAAAACCATTTTTCTTCATGCCAGAATCACATCTGACTTTGTGCAGACCACTATGAAGCCTGTTAACTGGTATGCTTATGTTGGGTCAAATGCAGTGACCAAGTGAAAATCAGGCAACATGGACATACTTCCCACAAACACAGGAAGGTAGCAAGTCTGCCTCTGACCTGTTGTTTCCAGAGGGCCAGGCAAATCAGATCTGCTTGTTTCAGGCCTGACCAAACACAGCTCTTCTACCATTGGAAGCTCAGCGGTGACCAGGCAAGAACCAAAGCCAGACAGTTCAAAGCTTTACCCAAACACTTTGTGATACTTGATCATCAGCATATCAGGTTGGTTTTATCACCATGCATGTCTGCTTTTCAGTGTCATCAGACATTATTCTACACTTATTAGGATAGTGGTTAATGCTGATTATTGATGACTCTTGAAGATTGGTGGCTGCTAACCATTAGTAGTTGTGACTGGCAGCAGACAGTGCCACAAATCACCACTCTCAAGAACATGCCAAAAAAGATATTTATAAAGTTGGCAGATCTGAAAAGTTACCAACCAGCTTTGACAATGACCCCTATAATATTTTCCTCACAGATGAGTGAGAACTGGCTTATTATTTCTTCTAGCTTTTCTAGATCTGACCCTAGAGCCAGAAAGAAAATAAAGGTTGGAGTCTTTATTTGACACTGCCTGAGGGCAGAAATAGAACTCCCCTTGCTGTCATGACTGCAGTATCTTTGAGACAAATGGTACGGCTCAACTTACTGGTGAAATGAAACAAAACATCTGAGAGCAGCAGGCTGTTACCAAAGCACACTGCATTATAAAGTATCTAGAGCCATTTAAATGAGATGAGAATCATTCAGTGCTTTAGCTGCCCCAGAGACAGTGGCTCCTACACTGCTGCACTTCCCACAGAGAGGCTCTGCTGCCAGGTCTGCAGAAGACCAGCACACCACTTGCCTATGGGGATTTCTCCTGAAAGGGATCCTGAAAAGGCAGCAAGTGGAGAGGGAGGATAACTGTGACAGCTGCTAGTTTGCACCTGACATTATTCACTTCATGCATGTGAGGGAGGTGCTCAGACAGGTACAAAGAGTGAAGGAAGAGCTCTACAAACAAGCACCAAGTTGGGAAAGAAATGATTCTTCAGCATCCTGTATTAAAGGATGTTCTCAGTTTAACTCTCCTGCTGACACAGATTGTGGCAATTGCACTGAGTTTAAGGCTTTCCTCTGCTGTATCTTGCACAGCTCCATGGAATTGGCTAGCCAGGCTCCCCAGAAACCTCTGCTGTATTCTGCTCTGTGCAGGTAGCCAACTTCCAACTCAAACTACTCTATGATTCTACAGTAATTCAGCTATCTAATTAGAGATTGAGCCTAATCACCAACTACTGGATTCTAAACACTGCAAATCTAAAATTGAAAGGCTGATGGATATACAGTATGCTGAATTTGAAGCTTGATAGAGACCTACTGAAGTCCGGGTCCCCACTCAACTCTTAGAAGGAAATATTTAAACAACTCACTTTTACACCCTGAAGGTATTGTCCACTGCTTGCATATATGCAAACAGGAAATTTGCTCAGTAACACAGACAATTTGCTGTGTGGTTTGTGACAAAAATCTATTGAAAAACAGCAGGTACATAGCTGCAAGCACAAGGAACTGCAGCCTATGTAGTAGTGACTGAAATAGCCATTTAATCATCATTGTCATCTGCCCACACACTGTGCACACAGTGGTAACAGATAAGAGGTTTAAAGTAAGTCCCGCAGCAAAAGGCTCAGGAAATTATTCAGTTTATCAAAAGAAAGGGGAAGCATGTAGCAGGGAATGTGGTCAGAGAAGCATTTTCAGTCACACACAAGGCTGCTGCAAGAAGCATGCCATCTGTTGCAAGATGTGAAGCTAGAATGCACACTGAACTAGAAACACAGCATTTGTCTTTCACAGCATGAGGGATTCACCAGTGAGATGAGTGTCTCAAGCACCAGGGTGAATCATGTTTTGGTACACTGTGAGTGGATGTGTTCCTAGATCAAGCATCCCTGTATTGAATTTGAAGAGGGAAATGCTTCAGGGAAATCCAGCTGCCTGTGTTATGGCGAGATCAGTCTAAGCAATCAAACAAACCCTCATCTTCTGGCCATAAAAAACCATTACTCAGTTAACCTCTAAATGTACCAGCCATACCACTTTGTGCAGTATTTATGCCTTTTTATAATATAAATAAAGCAAACTGTGCCGTGGTGATACTATCTCAGAATGTGTAATTTCTTCTTGGATACCATGTTGCTATTACTGTAGCAGGAAAGGGCAGCTGCTGGTTGAAGCTTGCTAGTTAGAAATGAATCTTTGGGGATTTATTTTATGTTCTGCTCAATGCACAACACAGCAAGTAATTCTGAGCAGCCAAGTCTGAACTTGTTGTCTGCTCTCTACAAAGATAAAACTAGCATGCTTCAGATACACAACTTTCTCACAGTCCCTCTATAAAGGACAAACCTTAAATCAGAGCTGATCTACTGAATTTCATTGCTCTTCTTCCATTTCCCCACATGTAAAATGGGGATTGATGGGAAAAGTGTAGCTTCCTTCATATGGGATGACTAAGAAATATGAAGGCTTTGTTTTTGGGGCAGTGAGACTCATATTATTGCAAGGTATTTGGGGGTTGGGAAAGGGACAACCCTACATACAAAAAGTAGTTTATAGAGTTAAATTCACCCTGCAAAAAGAGGAAAGCAGGTTCAGATATGCTGGCAGGACATCCTGGAAGTAGTTCAATCTTCCAGCCAGTAGAGAATCACTGCAACTGATTTTCCAGCCCAGAAGACTCAGCTGAGGAGTCAGGCTACATTCCCTTGGATTGGCCAGCAGCAACAGCTGCCCAGCCAAGACACCAGCTGCTGTCAAACCCTGGTACAACTGGGGCAATGCACATCCAGCTCTAATGTCTGTCACAAGCTGAGGGCATGACACACTTCAGAGGGAGCTGATACTTTCATTTCCACCTTGGAGAGAGCCTGCAAGTGGGTACTGTACCTTAGTTCCATGACTTTAGGAGACAGCTCTGAGCAAGTCATGGCTAAAGACATGGGGAAGAAACCTATGGCCTGTGCACAGGAAGATGATTTTCTGAGAGATGGAGACAAGCTGAAAAGGGAGCTGAGAGTGGGACAGCGACATGTATACCCACACCCTGGAAGAGTAAGCACTTTACTATTTGCAGGTATCTGCTTATTTTCTGGTGACATTATTAGTTTTAACTTCTTTATCTCTTTCCACAGCCTTTCCTGCCATTGAATCAGATGCTAATCCCAGTTTTCAAAGTTATGCATTTATTTCCCAAACCTTCCATCAACTGCACTTGTATCCCAGGTCCACAGGCTACAGCAGAGTGCACAGATGTGAGAGAACATCCACCAGTCTCCTTCCATATTTTGTTTTTTAAACAGATACTTGACTGTGTAAATCATTATCAAATGAAAGCTGAAGCAAGATGACATTCCCTGTATGTGGTAGAAAGACAGAAGTTGAGGCTAACATGCTGGATATATCGCATCAGCTTGTTGCATTTAAGATGCACTTGTCTGTTTTCAAGGCAGTGGGCTCACAAGTTGTCTCTGATTCCTTGGTCCTATTCCATGTTGCTTTACTCTGCATCTACACTCATCAATTCTCATGGGCTGCAGTGAGAAGATGATGCATAACTCACAAGTATAGTACTCAATAATAGGAAATGATCTCCCTTCTACATTTTCTGGAAGTCTTTGGATGGGGGTAAAAAAACAGGAATCAGTCTACTGTAAAGGATCTAAAATCAGTTTCCACACCTGTTTAATAAGAGAGGATGTATATTTCAGTAGTACTATTTCCCAAATCACAAATGAATTATAGAAATAACTATACTTCTCAATGACATAAGCTTCAGTTCTCTACACAGCACATTATGTTTATTCTTACAAGGTTTTTGAGCCATATACCATTAGAGGTTGAACTAGGAAAGAGAAGTTAGATGTTCAGTTTTGTTTTATTGGCACAAGAAACTTTCTTATCTATTGAGAAAACACGCTGTATTCTGGCAGATCAAGTACAAGGAACAAATTCTCAGAAAAATAAACCCAAATTCTAATCAGCAAAACCACAACTTAAATTTCATAAGCCTCAATTTTGCTTTTTTAAGTGACTCTCAACTTTTACCAGAGCCCAAGAGTTTGAACATAAACACCTCTAAACAAAACAGACAAACCTCAGTGGTTTATAACTAAGATGGAACATGCCAGTTATGCTTAATTGGCCAAATCTAAAGATTTCTCTTAGAAGCTGTCAATTAAACCTTCTCCACAAATTTTTCCATTATACAAGGTAGCCTCTTCATTCCCCACAAAACAGAAGAAATTGTCCACAAACCCCAGCAGCCTGAGCAATGAAACAAATTGAGCATAAGTGCTGCTACGTCTGTACTTGCTGACACTGCTTTAAGAAGAACATTTGCCTCTACATGTGAATGGCATCAAACTCTGCTGGCAGAGGCTAAAACAAGCCTTCCTAGTTTTATGTAGAAAATACTGAAGTGTAAGTAGGTACAAAATTTTCACCTCCTATGAGATGTCATTTCACATGAACTTGGTAAGAAAGCAATAAAACCCCATCAGCTCTGTCAAGAAAATTTCCTGCTTCTACCTTGATCCTGATTAGTATATTCACGATGGTAGTGAAAATACTTGACATTAATCAGATTCAAAACCATGCATAAGCTTTACATGTTATTTTTTAATGTCACCAATGTCACCTATTAAGCACAGGAAGGCTTTTAAAATGTGACTTGCTTATTGCTTGTGATATTATTTCCATTGAGTAAGTGAATCTGTGATTACATTGTTTTGACAAGGAAAGGGAAAGATAACACATCTATTGATCGTAAGATTAGTTTTAAAATCCTAGAAAAATAAATCTGTAACAAATTTGACCTAAAGGGTTATCAGTTAGATTTTTTTTGCAAGATTTGTCGCAGTCAAATTTATTTTGAAAGTTCAAATAGACTTAAGCAAGCTCTGATGGAGAAGGTGGGTTTTTTATCCATTTCTGAAAAACTAATTGAAGAAGCATATAACAGAAAAACACCATCAGCTTTACAGGCCTTCAAACTCTCCTGGCTATGTGCTCAAACAGCAACACTGTTGGGAATACGATCTGGGGAAAGGTAGTAGTAAGGAAGCTTCTTGTTCTTGTTGCGCTCAGTGATGGTGTTGACAATCTCATCCAAATTCTTGCGGAATTTTGCCATAGCCTCTTTCACTGGCTTCTCAACGAAGTGTTCATCTGGGTACATGCCCAGAAACAGCTGATTGAAAAACACCAAAAAATCCATGCTTTGAGAAGGCAAAGGCAATTAGTTTTCAATACTACACCATTTGGCAGAACACCACCCAGAGCCTCTCCTCACAAATGCTTCTGTTAAAGTAATATTATCAATACTTAAGCTAGCCTACACCTTCCTCTATTGCTGGCTGCTTCTTTGCATCCCTGCATCTTTCTGTGGTGCTGGTTCAGGTATCTACATGGCCCTCCCTGACCTAAAGAGACCTCAGCCATTGAAAACACTTTTATTCACTGAATGCACTTTAATTCAGGCCAGTGGCCAGTCAGAAGAGCTTGCTAAGCCAGATGTCTGTATAGTCACACAAACATTTATACTGCTAGAAAAAAGATATAGCATTAGAGGGGAATTCACAGCCAGAGGTTAAAAAGGAAAATAACTACTTCGTTCAGTGACAGTGGAAGATTCTGTTGACTTCAACTGTCCTTCAGAGTTCAATATGACAGGTTAGTTGTATTTGACTTAGGCTAGTCTTAGGTTTGACTTGATTAGTCATAGGTTGACTTTAGTCAGCTTGGACTCTAAGGGTGCTCTGAAAAGTGCACTGCCAATATGCACACTGGCATTGCTTTGGGCACTTTGGGAACTATTTCCCATAGTACAAGCTTCTCTGCTAGTACTGCTTTCTTCTTTTAGAGAAACTGAATTTAAAGTATGCTCTGTCCTTCATCTTCTATTTAAGAATTTCAAAACACATCCTCCAGAGCCCTTGTGTGAAACAACCAGGTACCTACAACCTCATTTTACGTGAGGGAAATGGTTACAGTCCTGTTGCCACGCATGGATTTACATGCCTGCAAAGCCTTCTGTAGGTTTGTTTTGTTTTCACTCCTCACCTGCCAGGCACAAGCCACGGCTGTAGTGCACATGGCACTGGGGCAGATTTTCCAAAGCAACAGGACATGGGGACACAGCACTGCTGTACCTTCTTCCCCAGCACTGCAGGGACAGCTCTTATGCCTCTGCAGCCCACCGTCTCCCACATGAGCAGCCTTTCTAAGCAGTGTCATGCTCAAGCTTGAAAACTTTGATATAGCTGAAACAGCCTCAGAGTAAAAATACAAGTACTTTCTCCGAGCTGGTTTGCATCTGGCATAACACAGGCAAACACACAGCACTGACACATCTCCACAGAAAGGTAAAAATGGCCAAGTCAAGCACAGGGCAGCACTATAGTCTCATGAGACTGTGCAGTCTTGCCATGGCCCTCATGGTCTCATATCTCCAGCGCCTACAGCAGGGAGGTTGACTTACTTCTTTGTCCTGGAATTGGCTCAAGGCCCAGACAGCTCCAAGATGCCAACAAGATCGTCCCCTGTCGGGCAGACTCTCCACAATTTGCTCGATGGTGACTGTGCCCTTTTCTGTTGGAGGAGGGCAGCGCATTGTTGGTGGGGCATTGGGAATCCAGGAGCACCAGTCATACTGCACAACAGAGCAAGAGACCACAGTGAATACCTGCAGGGGCTGGTGTTGAGGAACACACCAAAGAAAATCAGGAGTTTTCCAAGAGGGAATTTGCTTTTGTAATAGGAGCCCCTCAGAAAGAGAAGATACTAAGGACAGGGAAGTCCTTGAGAAGGACTAGAGGTGACAAGGAAGTCCTTACTGTTTTGCTCAGGAACTCACAAGAAAGAGTTAGAGTTGGGTAATATGAATGGGAGCATTTATTCTGCTAACCACAGGCATGTGCCACACATTCATCAGCCCAAATGCAACAGACAGGCTAAGGCCTTAAATATTTTATTAAACAAAGTTCCCTTCTGATAACCTGAGGCGATCGCCTTTACTCCAGCTTCTCTTTTATGCTAAATTTCCTCCAAGAACATGCCCACAGTGAATGTGGTCAGATATTAACAGAGATAAAGCATCAAGAAATATGGAATATGGCATGCAGATATGGCCATGGTGAGCAGCAGACTGGGAACTCATAGTCACTTCTGGCCTGTTTCAGTACTGTGAGATGCTGATGTCTCATTTTGCCTCAGATATGACTCTGAGTTTTGCCACCATCTAAAACACTGCAGTTACCAGAACTCTTTCTTTCCCAAGCACTTTTTCATTACCTTCATCTCCATCCCCTGCTCTGCCTGAGGGGAAGTGCACAGCCACCTCCTCATCCCCACCTCAGCCCTCTCTGCCTTTTGGTTCCATGGCTGAAGACCTTTTACTGATGGGTTGCATATCCTCTGTATGCCATATTAAGAGATGGTTTCTTGGTGGTACTTGAACAAACAGGATTTTCTGAGGGAGGCAGTGGGAGTTGTCTCAATCAGTTGTAAAGACAAGTTAGAGGGGAACAGTTGCAGAGGACCCTGGTCATGGACATGTCACAGCCATAGTGTGAGTTCATTAGACACCAGGTTCCAGACCTTCTCCAGGGCTCCTGAGCTGCAAGGGTGGACAGGAGGGTCAGCATAAAAAGTGATGTAGGGTATTTGGGAGTAACTACCATAAGAAAGATGGTCTCTCTGCTTATCTCTGAGATGATATATTAGAGACCACCTATGCCTGAAGTGAGAACATGCACAACAAAAAAATAAAAAAAGCTCATAAAATCATGGAATATCTCAAGTTGGAAGGAACCTATAAGGATCATCTAGTCCAGCTCCCTGATCCCTGATCCTTGCAGAACTATCTAAAACTAAACTATCAGACTAAGAGCATCATTCAACTCTGACAGGCTTGGAACTGTGACCACTTCCCTGGGGAGCCTGCTCCAGTGACTGACCACCCACTCAGTGAAAAAGCTCTGTGACTGACAAAGTGATTTACTTCTGGCTGTTAAATCTGCTTTCCAAAATGTCTTGATGTTGAAAGAAACAGCATTTGGAAGGCAGGTTGTTACTATAGTTTCAGGGCAGATATATGTCAGTTAAGGCAGGCAGGAATAACACAGGTTATCAGTATGTGACACATCACACATCAGAGGAAGCTCAAAGTTGCCACTTGGTTTGTAAACTCGTAAACACAAGAAATGAGCAGCAATGCCATTTAAAGGATTAAAAAAATATTCCCGTAATGAAATCAACAAAACTAAAATATACAAGTGAGAAGCACTAATCTGATCTTTGGTACATATGTAGGACTTGAAATGCCTTTCTCAGCTTCCAAATTACTTCCGTTTCCACAGACTTCACAGGGATTTGTAGATGGCTCTGCAGTTATTTTGACCAGAAAAAAAGTAATGTAACTCTGTACATCTACTAAAAAATGCTTCTCAGACCCTGCCCTGATAGATGTACCTCCCAGCCCAGACAGAAGAACAGTTCTCCCACAAGTTCCTACCTGACCAAAATTCACAGCTGCATGTTGAGCCGATGTAGTGAACATGATCACTGTGAGATATTCTGCTAGTGTCTCTCGTGTCCTGATCACCTTAGGGAACCCTAAAGGAGGGAGAATAAAAGCTTGACCCAGCAATGAAGTAACCATGCCACCCAGCAGTAATCAAAAATCATGGGTTAGAGTCCATGCAGCAGTCACTGAAGAGCAGGACATGCTATGAATCTTGCTGTGAGGTCTAACAGGAGCTCCTCACCTCCCTGTGCCTTGGCTGTGCAGCTGTAAAAACAGCCTTGCTTTGTGCAAGTCTGTGAGGCATCGCCAATGTTTGCAATGTGGTGTCCCATAATGGAAAGAAAAAGTATAATTATGCCTTTAAAAAACAGTGTCCCTGTCCTACCTACCCTGCAGCAAGGAACTCCCAGGTCCCTGAGGGCAGGGAGACCTCAGATGCTCCATGTTTCTTCAGTCTGCAGTGCAAGCAGGGAAGGTTCATGCCAAGGAGGAAGCAACCATGTGCTTGTATTTATAAAGGTTCAGCAGCCAAGTGTATTGCAAGAAAGAGTGCAGGGAGAGTTTATTCACTGAAACAGGAAGTGAGGAAATGAGAACTTCTGGAAAACAAACAGAATGAGGAACAGAAATAGTTGCATTAAGCTGTCTTTGAAGGAGAATAAGTAGAGTTATATAAAGAAAAAACAGAATAGTCAGGGACTAGGTAAATATTTTGCAACTGAAGCAACCCCAGTCCTGTATCACTCCTATCCTCACTAAATCACAGTCCTGTGCTGTACCCCCTGTCCCAGCCTAACATGACCACTGGTCCCAGTACACCTACAGACAGGGGCAAGCTGCCCCTGCCCAGGCTGCCTGTGCCAGCTGCTTCACATCTCCACCACCAACCTGATGCAGACCTCAGCCTGCAAGAGGGAAGAGGTACCTCTGGCAAGCCACCAAGCCCAAAGAGGAGAGGATGCACCATCCCCTCCTGTGGTTCTGCTATTCTAAGTACACTGTGCTCATCTTTAAAGGAGTTTGGCATTCTCCCAGTCACAGCAGCACTCTCAGGGAAGAAACAGGTGCCACAGCCTCCCTCATTTAGCCTCCTCCCATTCTTTACAGACCCTGCCAAATCTCCATTCTCTATGATACAGCCCTTGGAGCAGCAGCAGTGCAGAAAGAGATGCTGCAAGTCTGGTAGGTTTTCCCATCTGTGGTGACAGTCCTCCCACCAGTGGTGCTTGTAGCATCCCACCCCAGCTGAAGCCCTGGAAGGCTCAGTATTTGTCTCATTCTTACCAGGAGAAACAACATTTCTAAGCTTTTGCTAAGAGACAGCTAGACAAACAAAAATGAACCTTCCCTTGTCCAGGCAGATAGAACCCAGAAGCCTTTTATCCACCAGAACATAATGATTGGTAACATCACACTTTTGCCTGGACATCTGGCACTCCAATGTGTGCATGCAACACCAGAGCCATCTGTCCTAGGCCACTGGCCAGCAGGTATTGACAGATTTAAATCAGACAGGACAACAGGATAATCCCCAGCCACCTCTATAAATTCCTGAAAATCTGCTTGGCAAAAATGTGTGTGGAAGAGAAAAGCAACATTTTTAGGGAATGAGAGGGGAATATTTACTCAGGTAGGTGGATTGAGGCATGTTATGGATGAGAGCTCCCATGGCCAAGTAATGGTTTGCAAGAAAAGAGAGGCAGAGAAACAAGACAGGTCAAAGAAAAATATTTCTTGGAAATGATGAGTGTCTGTTCTCGAAGAGAGTACAATAGTTCAATGATGACACAAATGCTGAGCAAATGTGAAAGGCAGCAATATACTCCTGGGGAGGTTATTACATGTTCTTATTTAGTGTGAGGTTTGGAGGAGAGGATTCAAGGGCCTCGGTGCTCCTTGATGTCTGTCAGTCTGCCTGTTGGCTGTAACACACACAGACACAGCCCCTAATGCTTAAAGCATGAGCAGACAAAATCAGAGGACCTGTCCCCTGTGCAGAGAGATTACACGAGTTGCTCAAGCTCATGATGGGAATCTGTGCCAAAGGAAGGAGCTGTCTCCTGAGAGATGGCCTGAGCCAGGGTCTCACAATAAAACCCAGCATCTTCAGCCCAAGAAGAGAGCAGGTCTCTAACTTGTGCTGTGCACTCAGCACTGCTGTCAGCAGGGACTGGACAAGCTGCAGCCCCGGCTGGGCTCTCATACCTTACCTGAGGCTTTCACACCCCTCATTCCATAGACATAGATGTCTTTGACAAAGGCCTGCAGCTCCACATCCTCACACACCACCTCGTCACTCTCATAGTAGATGTGAATTACATCCTCTGCAAAACTGCAGATAGGAACAAACAAACAAAATGAAATTAAAAGGAGAATGCAAGTCTGACATTCCAGAAGATGATCTTCTGACCTTGCAGATGCTACATGGGGAAAGAGAAAAGGGCAAGAGAAGGTCTCAAAATCTTCCTATCTCCTTCCTACAAGCAGTGGGAATTAACATAGGCAATTTTGATTAATTTAGGACTGCAGCATCACTTCTTCCCCCAACAAATAGATCCTGGACCACAGAGAAACCCCTGAAAAATCCTGTGCACTTTCATCTCTTATTTGCAGCTTTGCTCCTGCACAGACCTCTGTCATCACATCTACATCCTTTCCTCACTCCATACAGACTCCCTCTTGCATATCCACATGGCTCCCACACTGAGCAGTGGGTTCCCAATCTGTGATACCAGTACCATTCCCTGTGTGTGGGACACTCCAAAGCTGACCCCTCCCATTGGATATCCTTTTTGTGAAATACTTAAAAATTACATGTTTTATATAATACTTAATACTAAACTTCTCCTGGGAAGAAGAGGTCTAGAGCTATTTCCCATGCCCACTGTTCACAGCAGACATCTTCATGTTCAGTTCCTCTTCTCAAGAAGCCTCTTCCTATGAAAGCTTCCCAGGCTAGCTCACCTCCGAAAGAAAGGCTCTTAAAGCACTAAGAAAACAGAAGTAGTTTTGAAAGCAGTGAAAATAGGAAATCCTGATTTCCTGAAGAACTGCAGTTCATGACTGAATGACTGGTTAATGGAGCTGTGCTGAGATAGTCTTGTTAGCTCTGCAGGTACCTTGCTAAATCTCTTGCTAAATATTTTGACAACAGCCCATAGGGTGAAACACTTGACTGTAGAAGCTGACTGATGGGATTAAGAATTTTTACCCAACAGAGATTTATCCCTTAATAAGATATAAATTTATACATTTTCTAAATGTATTGCAATCTGGAGACTTTTACAAATCTATCAATCAAAAACTCCGCCAATCGAGAGTTGTCATTGAGGCAGACGAATAACTGAATAAACACCAAAAGTTTAAGTAATTTTAGCTTCCAGAGGAAATTAAAGGAAAACAAAAACTTTGCCACATGCAGAGATAAAGCTGCTCTTCTTGAGGTCTGTCTCCATGCATGTGGCACTGGTGCCAGGTGATACAGGAAGGGGAACTTCCTCTCAAAAATGGCAGTATTTCAGACGCCCTTCCATACAAATAGAAATTAGTATATGAAGTGTTGGTGAGACCTTTTGGGCTGAAGTATCTTTGGGTTGGTGTATCTATCTGCAGTTAGATCAGAAACAGGAAGAGGACTAGAGGACTTTACATATTTGCAGTGTGAGACTCATTGTTTCTGTGGGAACAACCTTATCAGCTTCCTTGGGCCTAGGCCATGTGAAGTAATGCTGGGGATAGAAATGATTTCATAAAAAAAACCTGATACCCCTGCAGAGCTCAGGAGACTCCTAGTGAGCAGACACATGCATGACCATGGGTTCATAGGTCAGGATCTAACACACTCAGAAAGGTACTGCCCACACTTTTTATAAACCAAATGATTCACAGCTCTCAGCCAAGTGAGGCAGTGTAACATCACCCTCCACCGAGGTCAACACCCACAAACAGTCAAATTGAGTTGACTAAGTATTACCTGGCATTTGAAAGGCATATCTCAACCCACAAAGAAAACACAGGAAAGACAGGGAGGGGAAAAAAAAAAAAAATATATATATATATATACTACATGAAGAAAACAACCACAGCAAAGTTACAACTTCCTTTTCTCTCAAATGGGCACTCACAGTTGCAGGAAATATTGCAAGATAAGCCCTTGTAAAAACATAGAGGAAACACATGAGACAAAGATGTCCCTAGAACTTCCAGCATTATCCTTGCATCATAAAACTCCTACTTTGTGTACACAAAAAATCTGATTTTTAATGATCATGCTTTTCAAAAGTCATGTGATCAGAAACAGCTGCATATTTGGTAAGCAACTTATGCCATGCAAAAATACGTTGTTTGTTAAATTAAATGCCACTGCAGAATAAAAATCATATAAATCATGCAAGGCAGTGTTTCATATCTGAAAAGAAGTCATAATTGTGAGGTCAAGCAGCCTTGCAGTATCTCTCCTCACTCAGAATTGTTGCCCTTCTGATTAAACTCAGACTTCAAAATTTTAAAGTATTTTAAGAAAGGTTTTGTTCCAATCAGTTTATACCTAATTTACTGAGTTTCAAAAGAGAACCATCATGGAAGTCAAGCTTATATTTCAGTCCACAAGAACCTTGATGAGCTCACATGGCTGGCTCAGAGAACTCTCTTGGCTTGTGCATAGCTAAAGAAAAGGATAACTAAATTCCTTTTGCAGGCTAAATTCTGAGTCACTAAATTTCTGTGAAATCCTATAGAAGAGTACATATTTGTAAAGGGTCCTTTGAAATACAGCATGCAAGGAAACAGCACTGAGAAAAGCAGGATTTACCAATCTTTCAAGAGTGTGTGCTTGACAAAATATTTTTCCTCAGATGTACTGGATGGTAGAGGCACTATGTGGTTAACCAGCCCAGATATTGTTTACAAGATACCATGAAATCAAAGTGAGGAGGAAAAAAATAAGGTCTGTGTCTCTGTGACTTTATTAGCCAATATCTAGAACCATGGTCTTTTACCTCTTTATAGCCTCCCAGACCTTAATGCCATCATCCCGGTAATAGTAGTAGGGGATATCCTCTTTGCTGTCCATTCCTTTAGCTTTGATATCCTCAGGGAAGCAGAGGGAACTATAAGTCAGATCCTTCATTGCTTTCTGCACCATTTGTACGTGTCCTCCTCCCCCCGTAGCATTTGCCTGCAGGAAGAACAGCAAGATGGGAACAGTAGGAGATTATGTTCCCTATGTGCCAAGACTGGCTTTACAAATTTGCAGGAGATGGGATACAGAATGCTGGTGAATCTGTTTTTCAAGAAGAAAACCACATCTCCACACAAAGTACCAAACTGCAGAGGTCTGCTGAAACTGTGCATTTTGACTGTAGGGATTTCACACCTCTCCCATGAATCACTGTTAATACCCACATTTGCACCATAGGTACTGCTGATACTGAAATACACTAATAAAGTACAGCAACATCAAAGCATGCTGCTCCCTGCAGCCCTATGCTCAGTACCAGTGCACGTGTGAAGGAAGGCAGCCCTGAGTGTGTTTAGAAGAGGGTTTAAGTTAAACTGCCAGTGCTGTTACAGAGTAGTTTAGGAGCAAGTTTTTAGGGATGCAGGCTACCCTTAGTTGCCCTGGAAATAATGCCAGGAGGTCAATCCTGCTGGGTTGCTACTAAGGAGGAGAGGCCAGTGTTTCAGCATATGTTACATTTGAAAAACACAACGTGTCCACAGCAGACAGCACTGCCAAACTCTTCAGATAATCACTGTGCAAGAGTTCCCAAAAGCTGCTTTTTGAGCATATGATATATTGTTGTAGTAGTTGTGACCTTACATTTACTGTCCTCTGGCTGGTTGTTTGTTTGCATTGGAAGCAACAAATTCTGGAACTCCAGATCCTTGCTGGCAGGTCTTACCCACACAGTCATCCCACATGCATGGGGTATGGACATGACACTTCTGTTTAAAGGGATGCAAAGTCTCCACAGTCAACAGTGGAGTATAGACAACAAGAAAAGGTGTCTGGATTTAACCTCTCTATTTTGCTTGGGTGAAAAACTCTGAAGCAAGGAAGCTATTTTTGGCCTGGTGCCAGTGGTGTAATGAGGACAGAGGTGTTCTGAAACACAGGCTCCCTCTTTGAAAGGGCTTCTGAAACCTCCTAGCAGGCTGTCACAGAGACTGCTGTGTGCCAGGCTGCTGCAGTTCCTAGATGTGGCATTCAATTTCTCCCAGCGAGCTTGGTGTCACCTGTGAACTTACTGAGGATGCATGCCAGCCCTCACCCAAACCATTGATAAAGGTATGACAAACAGCTACGTTTCACTGGCTCAGATGGAGCTGACATTCAGTCCCAGCTGGTCTGGTGACTCAAGAAGACAGTCTGCAATCCAAACACACTCTTTGTGGTCATAGAAATCTGTCTTACCTACATGTCTTTCTGTGATGAAGATTTCCATTTGCAGTCACAAATCCCTTTGCTCACAGATGAATAACTGAGTATTTAAAAGAAGTTGGAGGCTTAACTATGTGGATACATATGTAGGAATTTATATGCACTCCTGTATTATAACCCAAAGGCACATCAGCAATGAGAGAGATACCGACAGACATTGGCCAGCTCTGATTTGGCTACTTAGAGGTAAAAGAGAACATTTTTAGCACAGTAAGGCATCAGTTCTGTGTGCCCATTTCTCAGGTGGCATTACTTATGTTTGCCCTTTAATAGAATGGTCAGGGAACAAAGCAGTATGTGATGGTTACAGGATTTGTATCTATGAAACCATGAAGAGCAAAGAACCATGAATAACAATGGACTGATATGAACAATGAAGGTTCACAAGGAGTTTACCTACCTTGTCAAAAAGGCCACATTCACAGATAAGCTGTTCTCGGGCTTTGGTATTGATGGCTATTGTGAACCGCATATGTGGCACCAAGAGCTGTGGAATGAAACAAACAACGGAAGAAGGAAACTTCTCAGTTTGAATTTGACAGCAGCCAGATGTAAAGCTTGAAGTCCTGGTGGTTTAGCTGTATCTTATCTTGCAGGGCAGCCAATTCAACTATTTCAGCTGAACGATCACCAGAACTTCCTTTGGGTTTGTCCAACCGCTGTGATAATCACCCCACCCCACCCCACCCCACCTACACCCTCCCTTCATGCAAGAACTAACCTTGAAGAGGGGATGTACAGCAGGCAGCTGCCGGAACATAGCTATGCTGAACACCTCTGAGACTAAGTGTGTCCGTAAGAGGTGGGTCACTGTCTGGTGGATGTGGAAATCAGATGAGCGGACCCAAATTTTAGCTAGCAGCCAGTCATATGTGGCATCTGAAGGAAGGAAGATGGGATTGTCTGGTCCAGGCTTTTGACCAAGCTGAAAGATATAAAAAGAACATGAAACCCAAGTCCTTGATGTTTAAAATGAGAAAACAAACAGTGTGACCTTCTAAAGACCCTGACATCAATCCCACCTGGATTGCAATGGGTACAATTTTTTTCTCCAGATTCTTATACAGCAGACAGATGGGTGCAGCCAAGTACTGTATTGTGCATGGGTCTGTTTTATTGGCATCCACACCATCAAGCAGCTCATAGTCCACAATGAAAATGTTTCCTTGCTGTGGGGAAAAAAACGCAAACAATCAAAAGAAAAAAGAGATGCAAGATGTGTTTTAATGATATGCAAGCCGCTTGGAACAAAGGAATGGGAAGTTTTGGCCAGAAACTGACATGAGCCTGGTGGTTACAAGCTACCCCTGGCCTGCCCTTGTTCATGGCAGCTCAAGAATGATACCATTGAGACAGCAAGTACCATTGCACAAACTACCTGACTTGTGTCTGGCAGTGAGCCTTTCAGCAAAGAGCTGTTTGGTTCTCATGCAGATGCAAGCAGGTTTCACCCTGCCAGCTGAAGAGAACCCTGTGTTAATTGTACAAACCAAAGCAAAGCACCATCCTTGTCAACGCTTCTTCAGCATGTTAGTGGGAAAGACCTTGCAGGAAAGGAAGAGGCACCTTTTCCCTCTGAGGCATCCAGCCAATCCCTATCCTTCCAGAGAAAACCAGTGACAAAGGACTGTTCATCTCCAGGTTACAGCTCTTCCACTGGACCTGGAGACAGGCATGGCCTGCAGCTCCAGGACAGCAGGAGAAAAGCCAGCAGGAGCACTGCCAGTCTGCAGAGACAAACAGCTTTGCCACGACCTATCACACATCCTGAAGAAAGGAGATGTGGCTGAAGGCAGTAAGAACAGACTCTGGAGGTTAGAGGATGTGAGAAGAACAGGTGGAGCTCAGCCTGACCCAGAGCCATACCTTCACTTCCTCCTCCAGTGTCAGGTTCCTCTCCAGACTGCATTCTACCATATCCATGGTCACAGGCAGCTTCTTGGGTATCTCTGTGCATCTCCGGATCAGCACAGGATTGCATCCATTCAGGAACTGGTAGCCAAACATAAAATCTTCCCTCCAGTGTTGCATCACATATTCTAAAGGAAAAACAAACCTGCAGCATCAATATTTTGCAGCATCAATACCTTCTGCATTGTAGGATTCCTCCTTTCCTTTTTGTTATACTGCACTGCAACTTTGAATACAGAAAGCAGCAAGAAAAGGATTTGAAAGGTTCCTTAAGACTTAAGAAATATCACTGAAGTTAAATGGAAAATTTAATTCTTGCTTCTCACACTGAGAAGAATTAAATTGATGATAATTTGCTTCTCCATGTACAGAAACAATGAATAATAAAATATTCCACTTTTACAAAGAATACTCTCTTCATCTGTAAACCACCTTCTCATGGTCTTCCATGAAATTTTTAAATTCCCCTTTTCAAATTCACAGGGCATGCAGTACAGAGGGATAAGTTCAAAAATAGGTGGCACAGGCAGGAGAAGGGAAATACATACCAATGTGTGTAGGGAAAGAACAGCAGTGGCTGGAGCAGTTGTTTTAGGCTAGAGCTGGGTGAGGGAAATTTGGGGGAGCATTTGGGCCCTGTACTCAGTAAAACTCCTCATTTGTTGTTTTGCTTGTTTGACTTGTTTTCCCTTTATTTATTTTTCAATTGCTGATATAAATCCAGATGAACATCTCAATGAAAGTCTAGTTTTGGATAGTCCATCTCTTTATTATTACATATGTAGTACTACTACTTTTCTATAGTTGTTGTGCTCTGTTTTGTAATGTCATGTTGTTGCTTCAGTTAATATGAAAAATCTTCAGGGGGAAAATGAAGGTAGTGAAGTTTTCCACTACGGGCTAGTTTTAAACAAGGCAGGATTTTTCTGAAAGCAATTATTTTTTCTAAAAAGGGTAAAAATATCAAAAATGTAGGCCCCAAGGGAATGCAGTGATAATTAAAAAAAAAAAAAGTCTCAAAACCCACAATGCTTTTTCATAAAGCAGAAAAAAGTTAAGTTTATATAAAATGACATTTACATTATCTCCATCAACTGCCTAATGAGTCTGGAGCTGTATCTGAAGTCTACATCAAGAAAAAAATTACTCAGCCCCTTGGACAGAAACGGCATGACTGAAAAATACCTTGAACCACCTTCTCCATTATCCCTGTTTCTGACGAGGCTTGCAAAAATGCAAATGGAGATTTGTATTAACATAACTGAGACCAATGCGTAATGTTTAAATAACACAGAATTGGAGCTTTCCTCATGAGTATAGAAATGTTATCAATGAAATTAATTGTAGATCATATCTAATTCTTGTGTTAGAAGTACTTTAGGAAGCAATCTTATTAAATGTAACAAATTGCTGTAATTAGTTTTTAATACTTCTGCCACCTTGTGTGCTTGGGTTTATCCCAAGAAAAACATAATTACTCTTATTTCTGTGAATTGATCCCTAGGCAGCCTGAAGAAGAGTAAAACTTCAGAAAATACAGTTTATTTATTGGAGCGCAGAAGAGCAGGTCAGCCACATCCATCCTAATCAGATGATCAACAAGACAACTAATTAGTCACTCTATGATGCAAACATGAGCAAATTCTAATAAACTCACCAGAGATTGTGTTGCTGATTCTGACAAAGATCCTCTCAAAATCTGCAAAATCACTCCAGGAGGACTGGAACATGTGCATGAAACGGTTAACATAAAGATTTTCCATCCTAAAAATAAACCAAAACAAAATATATCTGGAAAAAATAATCTTCAACTTTCTCAATAATACCCATTCCTATTATTTTCAATGTTTTTATATATATATATAAACACAATAAACTTTCACTAATGAAATGTGGGATTAGTCACCCTACAGAATTAATATTGCAGGCTACACAAGGCTGAAAGGCATGTCAACAGCCCAATTTCTGCTATTGCATTTACAGAACTCCATTCTAGAATTGTTGCACACATCACATGAATACAGTCGGCTGGGAGCCAAAAATGTCTGACTTTATCTGCTAATTCAGCAAATACGGCAGAGCCAAGCCAGTTCCCTTTATATGAAATGACAAGTCCTAAATTATTGCATAAATGCTAAACTGTTGTTACTAGATGGAAATAATTTACTTGGACTAGAAAGCAAATAATGAACTTGAAAAAGAAAGCTGGCTTCCCACTAACACCTCAAAAGCACAAATAAAAGTGCACACAGCACATGAAGGTATGCAGGGCAGACAACAAGGTAAAGTCAGTGTTGCACCAAGGCCTCCCAAAAAGAATTTGAGGAGAATCCCAGGAGGCTGGATTTATAATCAGCAAACCTATATAAAAGACTGGATCAGAACTGGCTGGAGAGGACCAGAAGCCTGGAGAAACTGCCAGTGGCTATCAGAAGCAGGGCTCTAGACCAGCATGACCCCAGTGCAGACAAAGCAGCTGCTTCTGCACTTAGCCCAGGTGGGGTGCATGTAGAATGGGCTGCTTCTGCAGCTACAGATGGCAGCCAAGGGTAAGAGGTGCCCGGAGGCATGTTTGGAAGTAAAAATCACACAACTGCCTAGGCTAGAACAGGTGATGGCCTCTCCAGAGGTCTTCTCACACCCAACAGGGACACAGAATCACTGTACAAGGATCAAAGCAAGGGTAACTGCTGAGCAGGACTTTCTGGATAGGGACCAGGTATCAGAAGGTTAAATTACTTTTATAAACATAACTCAATAGATTGAGTAGAGTCACTTGAGACTGTCTCATTTGAGAGTTTCCACTAAAAGTCCTGCAGAACCTCTGCCCTCCTTCAGAACTACTCTAAGAAAACATTTGACATAAAAGCAGATTTGTACTGCTCCTCTCCTGCCCAAGATGCTCTTCCTCCCTGGGGCTACTGATCAAACCAAGCAGCAGGCACAGCACCTGGGATCTGGGCACAAACCTGCTGCAGTCTGACCTGCTGAATGCCAAGCACAAATTCATTCTCAGATGTTTTGACGATTACTTCCAAAAGGAGGAAATCCTTCACATTTCCTATCCGAGTCCTTCTAAAGGACTCAGGAAACAAAAATATGTTTTCCTCAAGAAATCAAGTACTTAGAAGTCTCTGGCTCATACTAGAAACCAGAGCAAGGAAAAAAAAGTCATAGCTGCTTGTAGAATTTAATCTACCCAAATGTACCACTGGTCCAAAATAGCTACACAAGCCTGCATTTCTGGCACAGAATCCAGGTTGAGAGTTTCCATTTCCTAGAGAGTGTAGATTACGTCAGCACCAGACCTTCAGGATTATCTCCACCTACACACAATTAATCCTTTAACCTTATAGAATTATCCACTGTCAATACCATCCAAAAACCCCACCTTGCAACAGCATAAAGAATATCTGAGATGTATCTCCCTCTAAGTTCATTTCTGCATGTCCCAAGAAAAAGGGCTTTCCCCTTAATTCTTCCACAACTTCCTGTGTCTTACATAACTCTCCCAGCTCTCACATATTCCCTTAAAAGTTCTCCTTGCCCACTGCTATACTTTGCCTCTGGATTTCCAGACGCATCTCTCTGTCTTCCTTCCTACTGCACTCAAACTGAAGACAAGCCCCATGCCTTCCCCCACGTTTCCCCGCTCCATTCCTGCAAACAGTTGTTCCCATCTCCCAGAGCACATCAGGGTAGCTAGACAAGGGCTATTAAAATCTTCTCCAAAGATTTTCACAATTCAGTTGACCAGAAACATAGGTCTAGATTTTTCAGCCAAATGTCCCAGACAAGAAGCATTGCCATCGCTTAGAAAAACCTGTTTGCGTCATACCAGTTATCCAGAATGGCTGGCTGTCAGCAACACGGTTTCAGGTTCCCATTTCATGGGGAGGGCCCCTTACAGCCAATGACAAAGATAGATGTCCCTGCACTCTGTTGAGTCACTTCCAGGTTTCACTTGGCAGCGGCTCAGGACCTGTGACAACATGCCACAGCCTGGCAGGATGGCATTGCTGGAAGGGGAACGCAGCCTCCAAACTGCTTATGTCTCCTAATGGCAAACCTCTCATCTCTGGCATTCCATGCTCCTGCTCCTGCCTTACTCAGATCTTCTAGATGAGGTGGGAAACAGCAGGTTTGCACTGGCTAACACCATGCTGATTTGACTCTGTGTTGGTAGTGGAATTCAGCTGCACAAATTAATAAATAAAATACCCAGAATGCTCTGACATGAGACAGTCTTGTCTCATTCCACCACCTGATAGTATGGTGGTGTGATATCTGAGACAGTGTTGTATGACCTGGGCATTTGAGACAGCACTGAAGGAGACTCACAGGTCAGAGAGGTCCCATCTGCCTCACTGACACTGTGCTATTCCAGAGCTCTGCAGGATTGATTATTCAGGCTCATACAATGGCCATCCAGTGTTTTCCTCAATGACATGATATGTGCAAGTGAGTGGACAGTCACTTGGCTGCCCCAAGCAGATTACACTCAGGTGTGGATAACTTTAGAGCTGCTCAGAAGAGATTTTCTCCAGCAGGATGTCAAGGGTGAATTGACAATGATCTTCTTTGTGTATGCCACCAGAAGATTCAATTATCACCAACAGTTAGAGGAGAAAGGTATCTCCAGGGGGTAATGCTGAGAAATGAGTGAAAACCTCAAGGTCCCAGGTGCCTGTAGTCCTGCTGATGCTTTCCACCAGTGTTCACCAGTGTCTCCATCTGTCTCTACAGTCAAAATTATGGCTAACAAGAATGCAGAGGCTCAGTCAGTTCCCAGTGTGAAAAACTTTAATATTGATAACTAAAACATAAAATAACAAATCCATTAAATTCCTACTTTCATACTTTGATTGGCTGCTGATCCAGCACTTGGAGAAAATAATCTGATTCTGAGATTCAGTGAAACCTAAAAGGTTTCACTAATCCTTATACTGCCCCTAAAGAGATTCTGCAAACTCCTGAAGTTCCACAAACACTTACGCTTTTGTGTAGTTCAGAATGAAGTCAATTCCCTTCTCATTGTCAAACTGGATGTCACGAGGCAGTTCACTGTGAGAATGGGCATCGATGCTCAGGGGAAAGCCTGGATGCCACTCCTTCCAGCTGAGAAAATAAGCGAGGTTTGATTTACCATAAAACCTTATCAGCATGGGAGCTGTGTCCTTACCGCTAATGTTTTGGTGGCTCACTGCTAGAAAATAGTTTTGTGTCCAACTCATGCTAAAATAAGTGATTTACACCACATCAATACCTTCCAGTACACCACAGAAACCTGAAGCAGACTGGAAGGCATCTACTTGGCCCCCTACCTTCACAAAGCTTGAAGAAACTTAATATCTACACACTTGTCACATTTGGTTGAAACTGGTAGTGTATGCTCATTCTTGGGACTACACTTCTGCAGAACTGAGATACAGCAGCTAAAATTACTCAGGCATGTATTTAGATTCCTCCAAAAGACTCTCCAGGAGACTTAATCCAAATGTTCAACCTCTTAATGGTCACGGCACACATTCTTTGACCCATTTTTATTTCAAAACAAAAAGAAGTGAATTGTAAAGAATACTGTTTCAATGGTATTTCCAAACTGCCTGCCACACACAGACTGCACTGTGCATTATCAGCTATGCATCAGAATTTTAAGTAGCTATTTCCCTGAAATTACAAATGGTTTTGCCTTCCTTCTTGCATATGTAAATAAAATTTTGTGGCACACCTCTTTTTGAACCATATTTTCCTCTGCTCTATTTCCTGTAATATGTAGGGAACAGCCTTTCTTTTTCAAATGAAATAGACAACACCTACACCAAGCCTCAATCCATCAGTTCTGAATAGACTCTTTGGCCTGACCCCTACTCTACCAATAAAGAGATACAAGTGCAAGGAACTTTTGTTCTTTTAACAGAGCACGTCTCTAGCAAAATTCAATGTCTAATGCCTTCTGGAGCTACCCTCTGAGAAAAGACAGAATTTTCTCATCATAACACTGACTAGGTAAAAAAAGTCTAAGGCAGCATAATATATATGTGATATATATATATAAAATACATATGTGTGTGTACATATATATATATATATAAATAATGTGAAACATATATGTATAATGTACATATGTGAGATTTTTATATCTCACAACTGTGTTCTGTTAGCACATTCCAGTTCACTCAAACAGGTTTTCACTGCACCCTGGTGCAGGAAACAACACAAGCTAGCTTGGTGCAGGAGTCAAAAAGCTCCAGGAAAAGCTGACATGTTCAGATCATGTTCTAAAACTGTAGTACTGCTGATAATAGGCAAATGAAATATGTCTTCAAATCTTCCTTGAAGATTTTCCTTGAAAGCACAACAGTGTGCCAGAGGGCCCACAAAGAAGCTGTATCACTGAATTCCCACAGAAGTCTCACAGATAGGCTTATCTGAGGTACAAGTATCCATAATGCCACTTGCATTGGGATGATCATCCTTTTACAATTAATTCCAACTAAGCAAAATCCCGATATGGCCAACATGGTAATTTAGGCTCTCTCTTATCCAGCAGTTGAGTAATTAGAGGCACATGGTAATGTGAATATACTCTGCCAAACTCTGACCTGATGAGGACAGACCCTGGAGCAGAGGGAAACTCACCGGTACATTTTCTGACGGGATTCGAGCTCTTTGCGTCTGTGCTGCTTGAGAATCTGAGTCTTGTCATCTCGGGGGAGCTTTGCTGTTAACAGGGAAAAGAGACAGGGTTATGAGGTTCCTCTACCTATCACTGCCCAGGTGTTGAGAAAGACAGCAAAGTTTTCAAACCTCCACACTTCTGATCTATACCTTTACAAAGTTTCTGCGGGAAATGCTTACATGATCCAATTTAGTACATTTGAGTAGACACACAGGTCCTTAGAGAATCTATGGAAGAAGATAACCCCTGACTTGGTACTTCTAAGGGAAAACTAGCTTAAACTAGGAATATCTGTCTCAACTGTATATAGACCTTGGATTTCTAATGTAGAAACTTGCTGTCCGTATCTATTGTTAAATAGTCTGAAGAGAGTCTTGGGAACTAATTTTATCTAGGGGAATTTCCATCAATAAGAGAAACCACAACAGTGTTCCAGCTCATCTTCTCTGCTAAAAGACATGTGCAGGAAACTTCTCCAAGATTCTGCCACTGAGCAATGCTCTCCCCTGTCAGCCTGGGACAATAATAACATCTTCCAGTCATGAGAACAGAAACTAAAAACAATGAGACTTCAGTTCCAGACATTTTGCTCTTCTGACTATGAATTCAATATAACATTAAATAACACAGAGACTTCCATAATGATCAGAGAAAGGGCAAGGTATGAGAGCCACTTTACATACACAAATGTGGAGGCAGATAAAACCAGTAGAAGTTTCATGATAAAAGCTGTTTGGGTTTGGGGCTGAAAATATCAGAGGTAATACAGCTGATAACGTACATGGCTAATGGTTTCCAGGTGGTTATGTTCAAGTTACCAAGAAAATTTCACTTGCTCTTGTCTTTTACCTCACCATTTTCTGAAAGCCACACAAAGCTGCCTTCCATGGAAGTGGTACAGTTGTTGTAAAGTAAATTGTGAGAAATGGAAAGACCAAAAATAAACTGACACATAGTTGTCATTATAGGACAAGGGACTTCAAACACAAAATGCCCCAGCCAGGAGTGGCCAAAAATGTACAGGGAATATAAACATTCATTTCCTACCACCTCACACTTGTTTCAGCTGTTGTCAAGCACTCATGCTGCAGAACACAACAGTAGCCAACCTACCCCAGGTACCAGAGAGAGGAACAAGCAAACATCAGTGACAAATGTCTGACCAAATGCCTGGTCATGGCAAGTAAGTGTCAGAGACACTTAAAAACACCTCTCTCAGTTGGTCACCATTACCTGGAGCAGTCAAATCCATCACCCTGCCTTGTCCTGGACTTAACAACATGCAAAGAGAATGAATGAAAAGTAAGTTGCTTTTTCAGTTTGCACCTGCTGAGCAACTTTGGGATTTTATTTCATTCTCCTGTAAACAAGACAATTTACAGGCAATTAATCATGGGCCACTTGGGAGCTTAGAATGAAACAATCAGGGAACACTAATTCTAATTAGATCAAAAGGGCTTCCAGCAATTGGGGATGTGGAGTAGTCTCAAATTTGGCACTAGGGTCAACCTTCAAATTCAAGACCAGTGTAACAAGCCAGCATTAGGACTCTTCCTAGTATGTGCTTCCCAAAACATCCAACCCAACTGCCAGTGCCTAGCCCAACAAGCTGTTCAGGAAGTATTCCTAATAGGGAAAGCTCACTCTCTAGGATGCAGCAGGGGACTGGCTTCATTGGAGGGAGAAGATTGGGAAGTATGTGGAGAAATGGGAAGGAAAGATGGAAGAATTCCAGGTGTTCTGCAGGAAATCTGGTTTCTAATAGATCTCACCTCTTCCATCTCGAAGGACAACCTCCTTTTCATCTGTAATCCAGCGGTAACATGGGAACTCCAAATAGTCACCCACTGGTGTTTTAACAGTGATATACTTAAGGTACCAGTCATCCTGGTACCAGTATTTTCGTTTCTCAATTTTTATTAGCTGAATTTCTCCAAGGTCTTCTTCCACAGTCACATCATAGGAGTCAACCTGCAGAGCAGAACACAGCCAGTGATCCGCTGCATATGCAGAAAGCACCACCAGCACTACCCAGACATACCTAATCTTTCCCCACACAGCTTTCTAGCTTCTTGTGGGTGAAAAAAGGAAGTCCTGTTACTGGACTGCAGTGCAAAAGAAAGATGGAAAAAAAGAACAGACAGTAACATGCAAAACACTCCACAAATGGAGAAACATTTTTGGACGCTACCTAAAAACAGTATTACTCCTTGAAATGTGTGCAAGTCTTAGAAAAACATGCAGGCAAATTAAACCATTCACTACTCTCCTAGCAAGAGCTGAAGGAGGTACTACTAGGACACATCTAGTCATGCAACTGGAGTGGAAAGATGTTAAAGAGATTAGAACATTGGACTAGGAATTTAAAGACTTTTGTGTGTTAATTATGTGTGCTTCAACTAAGGACAGTATCTAGATCACCTAAATCCACTTCATCTTTTGCTTCCTGGTCTTCTTCAGTTCTCTCTTTTTAAAATGGGGACAATGGTACATTTTCTGTTTGTACAAAACTAAAATTTGGAAAATTATACATTTTATGTTTGTAAGGCACAGAAGTACAAAGGAATTTAAGTACAATGTCACACCCAGAGATACGTACACATAAGATTTAAATTAAGGAGCAATATGAATCAGATCAAGGAGTTAACAGAAATGTCAAATTGACAGACAGCTTTCAAAAGAAACTCATTCCTCTGGTAACAGCCTACATCCCTACATTACAAGAGCCCTAAAGTAGTTACTGTTGATGTAATGCAAGAAGGACATTAACCTAAATGATCCTGGAAGTTTTAAATCATTTTATGACCATCACAATTCCAATTTTGATGGCAGTTCTGAAAGGGAGGGCTTCCTCCTGGTATCTCACAGACCTTCTGCTGCCTCCAAGCCAGCACTGCCATGGGCTCACCTCAGATGACAATTTTACTAATACAACAAAGGTGTGTCAGGTTACAGAGAATGCACAAGGTGCAGGTAAGAACTGACACTTGGTTGCTCAAGGTTTCTATGACATTTGTTGTATGAAGTCCCTTGATAAACATCAGGGTACCTGTATGGCGAACCAGAGATACAAGGAGCTTTTATACACTTTGAGGGCAGAGTGAGAGAACAGAAGTAATAAAGACTATTGGACTGTCCAAACTCCTGTACCATGCTGTTCAAGCAATTTAATCTCATGCAAAACCTGAGTCTCTTTTTGAGGACAGATTCCTACTGACCATTCTTATATTGGAAAAAGGATGGCACAGGACAACTCCTCTTTCTATAAGCATAAAGCTCTAAGTGCAAAGAGCTGTATTTCCTTTCTGGAAATACATGTTAGTATTTTTCTTTAAACAAAAGCAAAAAAGCAGATGAAAGGGGAACAGGAAGGAAAGAGAGAACTGAGGGACACCATAAACTCTGAAATCACTCAGCACCAGAGGAATTTACTCAAAAGACACTATTAAAAGAAAAGAAACTATGACTTTCAACATTGCCTGTGTCCAGGGCTTGAAGTGAGTCAGAAAAACTATAACTGACCTACCACTGTGCAAATTCCTTCAGGGTTTTCCACATATTTTTCCCTCAGGCAACATTTGCCATGCAAATCTCCCACTCAGATCTGACCCAGGCCCTCTTTAATCACATCTAGTAATATGCCCAATTTGCAATAATGCAAATGAAGACATTATAAGGATAATGTAACTACAGAGCCTGGCCCAACATTTAGGGGAAAAAAAACCCAAACCTGGAAAGTAGACAACAACTTACAAAATAACGCTGCAAAATTCTGCTCATCCACTAAAAGCTCATCCTGGTTTTAGAAAAGAATTAACAATTGAATTGCTTTACAGAATAAAAAAAAAAATAAAGATGGCATTGAAAGAAGCACTAAAGGCAGAACTGTGAAAACAATTGCTGCATTTTGCAAACCAACCAAACTCAAAGTCTTCTGGCCTTCTTCAGTTTTAGTTTTCTGGTTCTGTACTGGTGTTTTCTTTTCTTTCCTTCTTTCCCTTGTACAACATATTATTAAGATACAGTGTTTTGGGCACAATATAACCTGAAGAGGTGCCTGGAAAAACATGCTGCATTCCCCAAGAAAACATCCTCAAAACCAAAACATAGCAAATTGTACTGCAAGTGGCAAGTGAGCCGGACACTTTACAGAACACAGAGTTACTCTGATGGTTCACAATAAATACATACTGAAAAACTGACTGCTACTAACACCCACACCCTCTGTTTGTTGCTCCCTCACCTAGTGGGTATATCTCTGCTCCTCCTGGGTCTGGTCCCACAGCAACTCCCCAGCTGCTGTGGGGCAGACACTGAATGTTCCCATCATGGTATTTTCTCCCTGTGACAGGATCCAGCCCAAGTGAATGCTCAGAGTACTACAAGGCTCTCCATCAGAGCCACCCGAAACCCTCTTTTGCAGCCCAGGAATAAGAGCAAACTGCCTGGTCAGCAAAACCCTGGTGATCTCAGCTGGGCAAGGCTCAGCCCTCCCGGGAGAGCACCCTAAACTCTAAGTTTGCAGGACAGTCTGAGGTCTCCTTCAACCTCTCTCGCTAATGTTGTTCAATTTTGCCTAAAGTATGTGACTATTCAGCATATAAGAAAGAAACAATGACTGGATGTCCACTGGAAGATTCAGGTAACAAGGTCCTAAGCTAATGAATGTTTAATCATGAAAGAAAATCAACTTCAGTAGCAGTGGCTCGTAAATATCTGGGGGACCACAACCACACATACCATCAACACCTACTCAAAATGCTGACTTCTGTTAAGTGCATCCATGATGTTTAACACAGAAGAGACCATGGACCTAATTCAGGCTGTGAACCACATGGTTGAAAAAAACACACCTAAAGGCAAAGCAGCACCATGACACTGAAGACTCATTTCTACATGTGGTGGGAAGTCTAACTTCCAAACTTCTGAATATCTTTTTAAAACTTTCAAAGTTGTTTCTATCTCATCAGACCTTCTAGAAACTGTGAATTTTGTTTCCAGGTAAAATGCACATTTTGGAAAGGGGTTGGGGGGGAAAGTCTGTTATTTCCAGAGTGGACTATAAGTAAATAAATAAATGTTATTCTAAACCAATGCTCAGAGTAGAAGCAATTACATTTGGATAGTCGAAACACGGTGACAGGACCACAGAGAGGACAGGGCACAGCTAACAGCAGAGATCTGGGCTAAGAAGAAGAGCACAGATGATAGCCCAGCCACAACTTCATTCTCATACATTCATGCTGTTTTTCAGCTTTCATTGACGTTGCCCTACACATTTCTCTTGGCAGACATTGTAATTCCCACTAGATGCTCTTACCTCTCTGTTTAATTCTTTGGAGATAACAGAACTCTGACTATTAGTAAAATATTGACCTTAAACATCACCTATCAACAAGAAACATACCACTTTTTTTTTTAGTACTTGTAAAGAAAGTGTGAGGACATCTGAAAGCCCATTGTAAGTCAGAACCAGAGAACCAAGGCGTGACTGACCGCAGCCAGGGCTACTCCTAGGGCAGGAATGCGGATGATGGGCAGCCGGGGAGGGCAGCGGGTCTCAGTCTCGCTGTCCCGCTGCGGAGCACCGGCATCCGGAGACAGGAGCTTAAGGCAAGCCCAGCCCAGCCCCGGGACCGGCCCCGCGGGAGAGGCCGCGGGAGATGCGCGGGGCGCGCCGGCAGCGCCGCGGGACTCACCGCGCCGCGCTCGAAGTCGTTGTAGAAGGGCTTGTCCAGGAGGTGCCTCTCGCTGCAGCCGTCCGTGCCCTGCAGGGTCAGGTACACGTAGTCGTCGGTGCCCGCGAACCACTGGCTGCCCGTGGCCACCGTGACGGTGTAGGACGGCATGGTCCCCGCGGATCGGCTCGGCTCGGCTCGGCTCGGCTCGGCCCCACCGGAGCGCTGAGCCGCGCTCCTGCCTTCGCCCGGACCCTGCCCAGCGCCGCCGCCTCCTCCGGCGCGGCACAGGGCAGCGCCGAGCCCCTTCCCCGCCCCTTCCCCGGCCCGGCACACCTACCCCATCCCGCC